GGGGGTGGGGCAGGGCAGGGACACCACCTGACCCACAGACGCATTTCTCCAGCACAGTAAGTCCTTCCACTCGCCATGGCAACCTGTCAACAACACACAAGTAGTAGTACTCGTAGTAGTAGTAGTAGTAGTACTTGTATATTGCAGTACTTGTACCTTGTAGTTCTGGTGCTGTGGTCTGTAGTTGAGTCTCACAGTCTTCTCTGTTCTTCTCCAGCTCCCAGTAAAACTGACAGCGAGGAAGCTTACTCCAGACCTGAGAAGAACCGACCACAGAACATCAGAACTCACCACAGACCATCAGAACCAACCACAGACCACCAGAACCCACCACAGACCATCAGAACCCACCACAGACCATCAGAACCCACCACAGAACCACCAGAACCCACCACAGACATCAGAACCCACCACAGACCATCAGAACCCACCACAGAACATCAGAACCCACCACAGACCATCAGAACCCACCACAGACCATCAGAACCAACCACAGACCATCAGAACCCACCACAGACATCAGAACCCACCACAGACCATCAGAACCACCACAGAACCATCAGAACCCACCCACCACAGACCATCAGAACCACCACAGACCATCAGAACCCACCACAGACCACCAGAACCCACCACAGAACATCACAGACCACCATCAGAACCCACACACAACCATCAGAACCACCACAGACCATCAGAACCACTCACCACCACCAGAACCACCACCATCAGAACCCACCACAGAACATCAGAACCCACCACAGACCATCAGAACCACCACAGAACCACACAGAACCCACCACAGAACCATCAGAACCACCACAGAACCATCAGAAACCCACCACAGAACCAACCAGAACCCACCACAGACCATCAGAACCACCACCACAGACATCAGAACCCACCACACATCAACACCACAGAACCCACCACAGACCATCAGACCACAGAACCCACCACAGCATCAGAACCCACCACAGAACCCACCACAACCATCAGAACCCACCACAGACCATCAGAACCCACCACAGACCCACACATCACAGATCAGAACCCACCACAGACACATCAGAACCACACCACAGACACCAGAACCCACCACAGACCACAGAACATCAGAACCCACCACAGACCATCAGAACCCACCACCACAGCACCCACCCAGAAACCACACCACAGAACATCCACCACAGACCATCAGAACCCACCACAGAACCATCAGAAACCCACCACAGAACCATCAGAACCCACCACAGACCATCACAGAACACACCACAGCAGACATCAGAACCCACCATCAGAACACACACCATCAGAACCCACCACAGACCATCAGAACCCACCACAGACCACCAGAACCCACCACAGAACATCACAGACCATCAGAACTCACCACAGAACATCAGAACTCACCACAGACCATCAGAACCATCACCCACCACAGAACCACCAGAACCCACCACACCATCAGAACCCACCACAGACCATCAGAACCACCACAGAACATCAGAACCCACCACAGAACATCAGACACCATCACCACAGACCATCAGAAACCCACCACAGAACATCAGAAACCACACCATCAGAACACCAGAACCATCAGAACCACCACAGACCATCAGAGACCCACCACAGAACCATCAGAACCCACCACAGAACATCAGAACTCACCACAGAAACATCAGAACATCACACCACAGAACCACCACAGAACCAGAACCCACCACAGACACAGAACATCAGAACCCACCACACACAGACCACCATCACCACAGAACATCAAACACCACCACAGAACATCAGAACAGAACCACCACAGAACATCACAGGACCATCAGAACCACCACAGAACATCAGAACCCACCACACCAGAACCCACCACAGACCACCAGAGACCACACACAGAACACAGAACATCAAACCACAGACCACAGAACCATACAGAACTCACACCACCACAGCACAGAACATCAGAACCCACCACAGAACATCACCACTCACCACAGAACATCAGAACCCACCACAGATTCCAAAACTGTCTCCTGTGAGCTTTAAATCCTGTTCTGAAGTTGTTCTCTGCTCAGAAACAGAGCTGGAGTTGTGTTTGTTTTAAGGTCTATTCATACTAGAGAAGAACATAAGAAGGTTCTTCTTGTTCTTGAGGTGATAAGAACAAAGTTGGTTTGGGCTCTGACATTTAACACTTCAAGATGTTCTCCTGACAAACTGCCCCGGCCCATCGCTCTTCTTTTTGGTGACTCGTTTTTTATCTTTCTCAGACTTGTCTTGGAGAATAATCCAGACTTTTGGTCCTTGTTCTCTCTCTGTGAATGTCTTCGTCGTTCACATGTTTGTAGTTTCTCATCATTTCCTCCAACTGTTTCAATCTGTTTAAAAAATCTCGCTCTGCACCGACGAGGAAACAGAAAAACCACAAACACGCGAAGAACCGACAGAGAGAAGATGTGAGAAGAAACCACGAGATCCGTCCAACAGGAACTGAGCGCGAGAACAAAACTCTGATGATCTTATGAAGAATGAAAAAGCCTCAACTCTTTATTATTATTATTATTATTACTCTTATTATTACTGCGTCTCTCTGTTCCACCTTGTGATGTCATGAAGTGTTGGGCTGGAGAAGATCTGAGCCTGAATCTTCTGTTTGTGATTTAAAGTTTAAAGTTGAGGGGATTTTGTTCACAGAAAAGAAGAAATGAGGAGAAGAATCTGACACAAACACACAACAAACACAACACACAATACAACAAAACACACACAACACACAACACACACACACACAACACACACAATACACACACAAACACACACACACACAACACACACACACACACACACACACAACACAAACACACAACAAACACACACACACACACAACAACACACACCAACACACACAACACACACCAACACACAACAACACACACAACTCACACAACACACACAAACAACACACATCACACACACACAACACACACAACTCACACACACAACCACAAAATACACAACACACACACACACACACAACAATACACACACACACAACACACACACACACACACACACACAACACACACACACACACACACACACACACACACACACACACAACACACAACACACACACAACACACACAACACAACAAACACACACACACAACACACACACAACACAACACACACACACAACACAACACACAACACAACACACACAACACACACACACACAACACACACAAACACACACAACACACACACAAAACACAAACACAACACACACACACACACAACAAACACACACACACACACAACACACAACACACACACACACACAACACACAACACAAACACACAACAAAATACACACACAACACACACACAACACACACAACAAAACACACAACACACACACAAAACACACAACACAACAACACACATACACACAACACAAACACAACCACACACACAATACACACACACAACACACACAACACACACACAACACAAACAACAACACACAACACACACACACAAATCACACACACAACACACAACACACACACAACACAACACACACACACAACACACAACAACACAACAATACACACACACACATACACAACACAACACACACACAACACACACAACACAACAAAACAAAACACACAACAAAATACACACAAACATCCAACCACTGGTTTAGTCCACACACACACCAGTTTAGAACCGGTTTACAGTTTAGTCCTGGTTTAGTCCTGGTTTAGACCTGGTTTAGTCCTGTTAGTCTGGTGGTTTGCTGGTTTAGTCCTGGTCCTTTAGACCTGGTTTATCCTGGTTTTAGCCTGGTTTTAGTCCTGGTTTAGACCTGGTTTAGACCTGGTTTAGACCTGGTTTAGTCCTGGTTTTTAGTCCTGGTTTAGCCTGTTTAGACCTGGTTTATGTCCTGGTTTAGCTGTTAGACCTTTAGTCCTGGTTTAGATCTGGTGTAGACCTGGGTTACTCCTGGTTTAGACCTGGTTTAAAGGACCTGTGCATCAGAGGACTGTGGGAGGGCATCTGACGCACACACTTCTGGGTCGTGGTCTGTGCCCTCCTCGTCGTTTCCCATCATGCCTCGGTGCTGGTACGTTTCCGTGGCGACAAATGTACACAGACGTAAACAAACGAGAGCTGTTTACGTTTCACACATACTCCACTCACTCTACTCCTCCTCTACTCCTCCTTTACTCCTCCTCTTCCTCTACTCCTCCTCTACTCCTCCTCTACTCCTCCTCCTCCTCTACTCCTCCTCTACTACTCCCTCCTAACTCCTCCTCTAACTCCTCCTCTACTCCTCCTCTCTCCTCCCTCCTCCTCTCCTCTCCTCTCTACTCTCCTCTACTCCTCCTCTACTCCTCTACTTCCTCTTACTCCTCCTCCTCTCCTCCCTACTCCTCTACTCCTCCTCCTCCTCTACTCCTCCTCCTACTTCCTCTACTCCTCCTCTCTTCCTCTACTCCTCTACTCCTCCTCTACTCCTCCTCTCCTCCTCCTCCTCTACTCCTCCTCTCCTCCTCTACTCCTCCTCTACTCCTCCTCTTCCTCTACTCCTCCTACTCCTCCTCCCTACTCCTCCTCCTCCTCCTCTACTCCTCCTCCTCTACTCTCCTCCTCTACTCCTCCTCTACTCTACTCCTCTCTCTCCTCCTCTCCTCCTCCTCCTCTCCTCCTCTACTCTCCTCTACTCCTCCTCTCCTCTACTCCTCTCCTCTACTCCTCCTCTCCTCCTCCTCTCCTCTCTCCTCTACTCCTCTCTCCTCTACTCCTCCTTCCTACTCTCCTTCCTCTCCTCCTCTCTACTCCTCCTCTACTCCTCCTCTACTCCTCCTCTTCCTCTACTCCTCCTCTACTCCTCCTCCTCCTCTACTCCTCCTCCTCTTCCTCTACTCCTCCTCTACTCCTCTACTCCTCCTCTACTCCTCCTCTTCCTCTACTCCTCCTCTACTCCTCCTCTACTCCTCCTCCTTTACTCCTCCTCTTCCTCTACTCCTCCTCTACTCCTCCTCTACTCCTCCTCTTCCTCTACTCCTCCTCCTCCTACTCCTCCTCTACTCTCTCCTCCTCTACTCCTCCTCCTCTACTCCTCTATCTTCCTCTACTCCTCTCTTTACTCTCCTCTACTCCTCCTCCTCTATCTACTCCTCCTCCTCTACTCCTCTACTCCTCCTCCTACTCCTCCTCCTCTACTCCTCCTCCTCTACTCCTCCTCCTCTACTCCTCTACTCCTCCCTCCTCCTCTACTCCTCCTTTACTCCTCCTCTACTCCTCCTCTTCCTCTACTCCTCCTCTACTCCTCCTTTACTCCTCCTCTACTCCTCCTCTACTCCTCCTCTACTCATCTTCCTCTACTCCTCCTCTACTCCTCCTCCTTTACTCCTCCTCTACTCCTCCTCCTCCTCTACTCCTCCTCTACTCCTCCTCCTCCTCTACTCCTCCTCTACTCCTCCTCCTCCTCTACTCCTCGTCCTCTGCTTCTCCTCCTTTACTCTGCTCCTCCTCTCTTCTGCCCATCCTCTGCTCCTCTTCTCCTCCTTTGCTTCTCTCCTCCCTCCTCTGCTTCCTCCCTCTCTTCTCTCCTCTTCTCCTCCTTTGCTTCTCTCCTCCTCTGACCCTCTGACCTTCTCCTCTCCTCCTCTGTTCCTTCTCTCTTCCTCAGACCCTTTCCTCTCCTCCTTCTCCTCTCCTCTTCCTCCTCTTCTCCTCCTCTTCTTCCTCCTCCTTCTCTTCTCCTTTGCTTCTCTCCTCCTCTGACCTTCTCCTCTTCTCCTCTGTTCCTTCTCTCTTCCTCTGACCCTTTCCTCTCCTGTTCCTCCTCTGACCTTCTCCTCTCCTCTTCTCCTCCTCTGTTCTGTTTCTTTTCTCCTCGTGGTTCCTTTTTTCAGTCACATGTGGTTGGTTAGTGCACAATTTCAACTAAACCAGGTCTAACCCAGGACTGAACCAGGACTAAACCAGGACTAAACCAGGACTAAACCAGGACTAAACCAAGACTAAACCAGGACTAAACCAGGACTAAACCAGGACTCAACTGAGAATCAATCAGAACTAGACCAGGTCTAAACCAGGACTGCTGCAGAGATGTTTCTGTGATTTGCTGATTCCTCAGACACAGAAATGTTTCAACAAATAGAAAACGTCTGGAAACAAATGAATGAGTCAAAAGAGAAAAGAGAGAAAGACAGAGTCCTGGTTCAGTCCCTGGGTTAGTCCTGGGTTAGTCCTGGTTTAGTCCTGATTTAGTCCTGGTTTGGATCTGGTTTGGATCTGGTTTGGATCTGGTTTGGATCTGGTGGTAGGTTTATTCATCTTTAGTTCATGTTGTTGTTCAGGTTTGACTCGAGTCATGATCAGGTTCAATATTTGTGAATTTATCTTTATGATATTTCACGGAAAAGTTCAGTTTGATCAACAGAGAAAATCTCCTGCCTCATCACACAGGGCGCTTTCTGTCTCTGTGTCTGTCTCTGTGTCTGTCTCTGTGTCTGTCTCTGTGTCTGTCTCTGTGTCTGTCTCTGTGTCTGTCTCTGTGTCTGTCTCTGTGTCTGTCTCTGTCTCTGTCTGTCTCTGTGTCTGTCTCTGTGTCTGTCTCTGTGTCTGTCTCTGTGTCTGTCTCTGTCTCTGTGTCTGTCTCTGTGTCTGTCTCTGTGTCTGTCTCTGTGTCTGTCTCTGTGTCTGTCTCTGTGTCTGTCTCTCTGTCTCTGTGTCTGTCTCTGTGTCTGTCTCTGTGTCTGTCTCTGTGTCTGTCTCTGTGTCTGTCTGTCTGTGTCTGTCTCTGTGTCTGTCTCTGTGTCTGTCTCTGTGTCTGTCTCTGTCTCTCTGTCTCTGTCTGTCTGTCTCTGTGTCTCTGTCTCTGTCTGTCTCTGTCTCTGTGTCTGTGTCTCTGTGTCTGTCTCTGTGTCTGTTTCTGTCTCTGTGTCTGTCTGTTCTGTGTCTGTCTCTGTGTCTCTGTCTGTGTCTGTTTCTGTCTCTGTGTCTGTTTGTGTCTCTTTTGTTGCTTCTTCTTTAGAATGTTATTCTTATCATTTATATTTGTAAGTCTTTATATATGTGGCACTTTCACAGACATTTTCTGTCCCCAAAGACACTTTACACAACATTATTCAGCATTATTCAGCATTATTCAGCATTATTCAGCATTATTCAGCATTCTTCATTCACTCTACACCTGGTGATGGTAAACTACTATTGTAGCCACAGCTGCCCTGGGGCACACTGACAGAGACGCGGCTGCCATGCCTCCGACCACCAACATCACACACACACACCACTTTCATACTAGGCAATGTGTGTGAAGTGTCTTGCCCAAGGACACAATGATCAAATTGCTTGTGTTGAACTGATCTTGACTCAGTCTCTAAACTGTCTCTGTCTCTTTGTTATTTTATTTTATTGTGATGTGTGACTCTTGTGTCTACATCATTTCCCTCGTGGATTAATAAAGTTTGTCTAAGTCGAAGTCAAACACACTTGAAAACTTGATGACATCACGAGGTGGAACAGAGCGTTTGGACTCCAGCTGCAGCTCTGTGTTTGAGGAGGAAACTCCAGAAGAACACGACTTAAACCTTCACAAGACTCACATCTGTGTGACAGAAAAACTTGAATTCATAACTGGTGCTGACACTAAAACTCTATTCTGATACTCAGGAATAAACTCAGTACTGATACTGATACTGATACTTGATACTGATACTGATACTGATACTGATACTGATCCCACGAGGAGAATGCAAAATTTAAAAAAAACTTTTCTTTAGAAAGAATGTGATTTTCCACATTAAATGGGAGAATTTTATTTTCTGCTCCCACATGTTCTGATCCCTGTGTGGTCCAGGACTAAACAAGGACTAAACCAGAACTAAACCTGGTCTAAACCAGGACTAAACCTGGATTGAACCAGGTCTAAACCAGAACTAAACCTGGACTGAACCAGGTCTAAACCTGGACTAAACCAGGACTAAACCAGAACTAAACCTGGACTGAACCAGGTCTAAACCTGGACTAAACCAGGACTAAACCAGGTCTAAACCAGGTCTAAACCAGGTCTAAACCAGGTCTAAACCAGGTCTAAACCAGGTCTGTGTGTGTTCTTGTCTCTGTCTCTCGTTCTGATCCAGCTCCAGTTCTAAACACGTTCAGAAAAGGTTCTGGACGTTTTTAGTATCGACACTTGTGAAAAACGAGGATCTGGTTTGGATCCTGGTTCCAGAATCGACCTGGATCTGATTTTAGATTCTTCCCACGACAAAACCACAGATTTAACTCAGGTCAATAAAAACAAACAAAAAAACAACAACAAAAAAACACAGATTAAACTCAGGTCAATAAAAAAAAACCCCAAAAAAACAAAACACACAGATTAAAGAGTGACTGACCGTGTGTGTGAGTCCCAGGAAGAGCACGAACCACAGCGGAGTCCTCATCCTGACGCACACGGGCGACAGGTGCAGGGCGACAGGAGAAGAGGCGGCAGGTGAAGAGGCGACAGGTGAAGAGGCGACAGGTGAAGAGGCGACAGGTGAAGAGGGCGACAGGTGAAGAGGCGACAGGTGAAGAGGCAGGAGGGAACGTGTGATCTCCACGTGGACCGAGTCTGAACTGAAGCAAAAACTAACTCTGCTCTGAGAGACGGAGAGAGAGAGAGAGAGAGAGAGGAGGAGGAGAGAGAAAAGAGTAGAAGTGAAGAGAGAGAGAAAGAGGAGGGGCGGTGACCGACAGAGAAGAGGGAGGAGAGAGATAAAAACAGAAAAGATAAATATGACGAGAAGAGAGAGAAAGTGAGTTATGAGAGAGAGAGAGAGAGAGGAGAGAGAGAAAATGAGTGAACGACAGATAAGAGGAGGAGAGAGAAAGAGAAGACAGATAAAGAGAAAGAAATGACAAGCAGTGGGATAAAGAGGGAGGAGAAGAAAAAGAAAAGAGGAGGAAAAGAAGGAGGAGTGGAGACACAATAAGATAGACAGAAAGAGAGAGAGAGAGAAGGGAAGGAGAGAAAGTGAAAGGTAGAGGATAGAGAGGAGAGAAAGGAGGAGAAGAGAGTGGGTGGGAGAGGGAGGTAAAAAGAGAAAGAGATAAAAATGAGGAGTAGAGAGAGAAAGAGAGTTATGAGAGAGAGAAGAGAGAGGGAGAGGAGAGAGAGAAAATGAGTGAAAGAAAAAGAGGAGGAGAAAGAGGAGGAGAGAGTCCAGAGGGAAAGTGAGATACGAGAGAGAGAGAGAGAGAGAGAGAAATGCCGAGTAGAAGGATAAAGAGGGAGGGAGAAGAGGAAAAAGAAAAGGGGAGGAGAGAGAGAGATAGACAGAGAGAGAGAAAGAGAGAATAGAAGGGAAGAAGAGAAAGAGGAGAGAAGAGGAGAAATAACCAGAGACCAAGGATAGAGAAAGGAAAAGAAGAGAGTGAGTGGGAGGAGGGAGATAAAGAGAGAAAAATGAGGAGTAGAGAGAGAGAGTGAGTTATGAGAGAGAGAAGAATGAGTAAACGACAGAGAGGAGGAGGAGAGAGAAAGAGAGGACAGATAAAGAGAAAGAAATGACGAGTTGAGGGATAAAGAGGGAGGAGAGAGAGGGAAAAGAAAAGGGAAGGAGAGAGGAAAGAGGAGTGGAGAGGTAGGTAAGATAGACAGAAGAAGGGGAGAGAGAGGACAGATAAACAGAGAGAAAGGAGAGAAATAGAAAAGAAAGTAGAGAGATACAGAGTGAATAAGAGAGGGAGAATATAGAGAAAGAGAGAAAGATGAGTTATGAGAGAAAGGAGAGAGAAACTGAGAGGGAGGAGAGAGAGAAAATGAGTGAATGACAGAGAAGAGGAGGAGAAGAGAGTCCAGAGGGAAAGTGAGATCGAAGAGAGAGAGAGAGAGAGAGAGAGAGAAAGAGAGGACAGATAAAGAGAGAGAAATGACGAGGAGACGGATAAAGAGGGATAAGAGAGGGAAAAGAAAAGGGAAGGAGAGAGAAGTGGGAGAGGGAGGAGAGAGATAAAAAAAAGGAAAGAGATAAAAAGGAGGAGTAGAGAGAGAGAATGTGAGTTATGAGAGAGAGAGGAGAAGAACAGAAAGGAGAGAGAGGACAGATAAAGAGAGACAAATGACGAGTAGAGGGAAAGAGAGAGAGGGAGAAGAGCGAAGGAAAGAGGAAAGAGGAGTGGAGAGGTAGTCAGATAGACAAAGAGAGAGAGAGTGAGAGAAGAAGGGAAGGAGAGAAAAGGTGGAGAAAAAGTGAAAGGAAGAGGAGAGATAAACGGAGAGTAAGGAGAGAGAGAGAGAGAGGAGAGAAATGAGGAGAAGAGAGTGAGTGGGAGAGGGAGGAGAGAGATAAAGAGAGATAAATGACGAGTAGAGGGATAGAGAGGGAGGGGGAAGAGAGAAGGAGAAGAGGGAAGAGGAGTGGAGAGGTAGTAACACAGACCAGATAAAGAGAGAGAGAGAGAGAGAAGTGAAGGAGAGAAAGTGAAAGGCAGAGGAGAGAGAAAAACAAAGAGAACGAGAGAGAGAGTGAGTGGGAGAGGTTGGATAGACAGATAAAGGAGGAGTAGAGGGGGAAAGTGAGAGAGTGATGGAGGGATGGAGGTGTTACTCTGTTTGTCCTCCTCCTCTTCCTCCTCTTCCTTGTGTCGACTCCCTCTGCTGGACACTGGAGCTCACTGCACAATCATCACAAACATCTTTTTTTCTTTTTTGTTTCTCTGATCTGTTCTTCCCTCACTTCATCTCTCTTTTTATTTCAAGTTTTGATTTGTTTGTTTTGTGATTTTGGTGTATTTCTTTTTCTGTAAAAACCCTTTGAATGATTTTGTGTAAGAATTGTTCTGTACAAATAAACTTTTCCTTCAGACCCGGACGTGTTTGGGTCGTGCAAAAATATCAAAATATCGTATCGTTTAATGTACAGTTACATCGATATCGCGAGCTGCTGTATCGATAAATCGCCAAGAGGATTTTTTAGTATATTTTACAAAATGATTTAGTTGGAGCTGCAGTTTTGTTCGGAGTCCAGACGTCCCTGTTTCCACGGGACAGTTACAGTTTTGAGTCTGTGTTTCTGTCCCTGCAGATTTACACAAAACCACTGATTTGTCTCAGTTTTATATAAGAAATGTCCCAGTGTCTCTGTTTTTGACCAAACTGATGATGACAACAGTAAAAAGAAACATAAACTGTGATTTGTTTGGGTAAAATACAGAAAATCTGCTTAAAAACGACTAAAACACAAAGTAAACGTGACTATAGTGACTCAGGAACGAGACGAGTGCAAAACTATTTGACTTATTTGTTTCACAGTTTTATTATTAAACCGAGACTGACCCAGTTTCTGATTTTAAAAATGTGGTCACTTTATTTTTGTTCCTTGTTTAGAGGAAGGAAACCAGGACTAAACCAGGTCTAAACCAGGACTAAACCAGGTCTAAACCAGGTCTAAACCAGGTCTAAACCAGACTAAACCAAGGTCTAAACCAGGTCTAAACCAGGAGGTCTAAACCAGGACTAAACCAGGTCTAAACCAGGACTAAACCAGGACTAAACCAGGTCTAAACCAGGACTAAACCAGGTCTAAACCAGGACTAAACCACTAAACCAGGTCTAAACCAGGACTAAACCAGGACTAAACCAGGTCTAAAACCAGGACTAAACCAGGTCTAAACCAGGACTAAACCAGGACTAAACAGGTCTAAACCAGGACTAAACCAGGTCTAAACCAGGACTAAACCAGGTCTAAACCAGGTCTAAACCAGGACTAAACCAGGACTAAACCAGGACTAAACCAGGTCTAAACCAGGTCTAAACCAGGACTAAACCAAGGACTAAACCAGGTCTAAACCAGGACTAAACCAGGTCTAAACCAGGACTAAACCAGGACTAAACAGGACTAAACCAGGTCTAAACCAGGTCTAAACCAGGTCTAAACCAGGACTAAACCAGGACTAAAACCAGGTCTAAACCAGGACTAAACCAGGACTAAACCAGGTCTAAACCAGGGACTAAACCAGGTCTAAACCAGGACTAAACCAGGACTAAACCAGGTCTAAACCAAGAACTAAACCCTAAACCAGGACTAAACCAGGTCTAAACCAGGACTAAACAGACTAAACCAAGGTCTAAACCAGGACTAAACCAGGTCTAAACCAGGACTAAACCAGGTCTAAACCAAGGTCTAAACCAGGACTAAACCAGGTCTAAACCAGGACTAAACCAGGTCTAAAACCAGGACTAAACCAGGACTAAACCAGGTCTAAACCAGGACTAAACCAGGACTAAACAAGACTAAACCAGGTCTAACCAGGTCTAAACCAGGACTAAACAGACTAAACCAGGACTAAACCAGTCTAAACCAGACTACTAAACCAGTCTAAACCAGGACTAAACCAGGACTAAACTAAACCAGGACTAAACCAGGACTAAACCAGGTCTAAACCAGGTCTAAACCAGGACTAACTAAACCAGACTAAACTAAACCAGGTCTAAACCAGGACTAAACAGGTCTAAACCAGGACTAAACCAGGACTAAACAGGTCTAAACCAGGACTAAACCAGGTCTAAACCAGGAAACCAGGACTAAACCAGGACTAAACTAAATCAGGTCTAAACCAGATCTAAAGCAGGACTAAACTAAACCAGGACTAAATCAGGACTAAACCAGGACTAAACTAAACCAGGTCTAAACCAGGACTAAACTAAACCAGGTCTAAACCAGGTCCGTGTGTGTTCTAGTCTGTGTCTCTTGTTCTGATCCAGTTCCAGATTGTTCTAAAGGTTTTGTTCTGTTCTGTCTGTGGGAGGTTTTTTTTAGTATCGACACTTGTGATAAACGAGGATCTGGTTTGGATCCTGGTTCCAGAATCGACCTGGATCTGATTTTAGATTCTTCCCACGACAAACCCACAGATTTAAAAGTTCCTGACCGTGTGTGTGACGATACTGACTCATGTTCGTCATGAATAAATCATGAACGGGCCGAGGGCAGAACAGTTTTACTTATTCGTTTCACTATTTTATTATTACCCACAACTTTAAACCGGGACTGTCCCAGGTTCTCGTTTTGAAAATCTGGTCATTCTATTTCTGTTTAGAGGAAGGAAACGTTTTTTATGCGACATTTTGACAGTTCTGAGGATTAAAATGTTTGTGTTTCATATGAACTCTGCACAAGAAGAAGTGATTTAACAAAGACTTTTAGAATCACAGTCATGATTTAGAGCAGGAGAGTCCAAAGTTTTTTCATCAAGGGCCACAGATCTGAACAGAGATGAAGCAGAGACTGAAGCTCAATACAGTGAATAATTAAAATATGTTTATGTTTAACACGTTAGAACGAGCTGTCATCAGTCTTTATTCACACTAAGATCCTCAAAACCAAACACTAAATGTAAAATACTGAGGATTTGTGTGTGTCAGTCACGTGATTTAATGTTTTGGTGTCTGTACTGAGGTCAAGACTGAGATTATTCACTTTATTTCAATATAATCATGGCGACTTTAAACAGCTCAAACAAAATAAAACTGTGTGAAACCTCCAGCTCGTTAGATCAGCGTCATTAGAAAAGATATAAATCTAAAGTCGTCCTCCTGGGTTGTGGAGTAGATCCTGATCTAATTCTGTTGGATCTTTGTCAGTTT